GAATATAACAAATTACAGGGGCCGGGGAGCTGGCTTAGTGGAATAAGCGCTTGCCTGGCAAGCGCAAGGGTCTGAGTTCAATCCCTGGTTCTGCAAAAAAAAAAAAAAAAAAAAAAAAAAAAAAATTACAGCTGGAGGGTTCACATGCTGCTTACAAACATAAACAGGCTGAGAGCAATAACCTGAATAAACCATTGCACGGCTACGTGTGCATCTGTCTACAATTGCACACTACGTGCACACATTTACGCTCATGTACATGAGCTGTGTACTCAGCAAAGCTTGAAAAATGAACATTGTGTGTGTGTGTGTGTGTGTGTGTGTGTGTCCCAGGCTCTTGCACATATGAGGCAAGCTACCCAGAGCCCTAGAACATTGAAGAAAACCAGAAGTTCCTTCTTCAAAGACTAGTAAGCCGAGGAGAGTGATATTTAAAACATGAAGTGAGAAAAAAGGGCAAATCAATTACATATGCAATATTAAAAATGAATATTGTGGCTATGGACCCGTGGCAGAACAGGAAGAGGCATACGTGGGGGTGGGGGGAAGCAAAATGTGAGTAAATACAGATGAAACCATGCTGAAAGGACCGTAGGAACTCAAGTTCTGCAGCAAAGGGACGGGGCGCCCCCTGCTCTGCCCAGCCTGATGTCCCCAGCAGCCGTGCTCCAGCCCTCAGGGCACCGTGAGCTTAGCTAATACAGCTTGGTCCAGAAGCTGCAAACACGCAGCAGCTACCTCATTAGCTCCTTCCACGGGGCCACTAGAAGCGGTTTGCAAACCAGGGGCAGGGGGAGAAGCCACCGTGGACCCCTCACGCAGGGGCAGAATCCTGCTGGACTCCGAGCTGCTGAAAGCAGCGCAGGAAGTAACTCAGCCTGATCGAGGACAAGATGTTCCCCGGGCGTGGAGCATGCCGGGAAGCAGGAAGCACTTGGTGCGGTTCTGTGCCTGGCTGGAGCTGGCACTCGGGCGCCTGGCAGAGGAGACTTGCTGATGGTTATGTGCGAGGCTCGGTCCCAGCCCTGCCTCCCAGTGATCTCCTCACCCACCGCAGTGATCGCCATTGCTCCTGACACGACCCTGTCCTGTGCCTCTGTGCCTCTCCCCCAGGAGGCAGGCTCTGCAGCAGTCCTGGCTACTGGCTCTGCATGGCCACCCTGGAACTGGGCCAGGTCAGAGATTGGAACACGTGGCACTGTCACGGTGCCTCCCACCTGCGGAGCTCGGTGGCCCGGGCAGCAGTACCGTTGGGAGGAGCAAGCTGGCTGCAAGAGCTTGCGGGGTGGAGCCAGCGCAGGAGCAGGGCACGGGCTCCTCTGCTTCTGGAGCCACAGCAGTAACCAGCTGGACAACAGTTCAGAACACCGCTCAGCGTGGACAAGAAACTGCCTACCTGGGACCAAGTCTGGCCGCTGATTCCTGTCTTTCCACTCCTCCAAAGAACTTTTATTTATTTATTTGTCTTTTTGAGACAGGATTTCACTATGCAGTTCGGGCTGGCCTTGAATTCGTTGTGTAGATCTGGCTGAACTCAAACTCACAGCAACCCTCCTGCCTCAGTTTCCCAAGTGCTTGGATTACAGGCAGTGCGTGACCACACTCAACCCAGAGCTTCTACGGGCCTAAGGAGGAGGCCCGAACAAATTCAGACAGCAGAGCGTGGATGTGGCGCTACAGATACCCTCTCCTAGTCCTTCCATGTGGGGCAGGCGTGGCCTGTTGGATGCCAGGCCGCAGGCGGCGGTCGGGGGAGGAATTTGGTGGCCCTCCCAGGCTCCAGCCTGGACCAGTGAGCACAGACAGACCCTGGATGGCCAAGGGCAGGGGTAGAGCCTTGCTGGGATCACAGGCCTGCAGGAGGAAGCCATGGAGCAAGAGTTTCAGCCAGAGGAGAGGCACAGGGGTGTCTGGACCCCAGGGGTGCTGCTGCTGGAGCTTCCCCTTCTCAGTGCCTCGGTGCAAGCCTGACCAGCAGTGCCACTCTTGGCCAACAGGGGGCACTCGAGGGCACCACCGAATGCCAGAGCCACGCTGAAAAGAGTAACCCCGAGGTCCTGCGAGCCCCTCCTCCGTGCCACCCCTACTGCATCGTTTAGTGGGTTATGGAGGGCTGGGGTCAGAGGGCTGAGGCCAGGGAGCAGCCGCTGCGGTTGTGACGCGCCCCATGCTAGTCCTGATGGAGGGCTGGCTACCGCCCCTCCCCCCGTGTCCCACCCCTCCCCCGCGGGGCCCTCGGGGCTCTCCAGGTGAGGGCCTGCAGCCCGGCTCGCTGCCCTGGCTCTGGTTCCCTTGCAGGGTGACCTTGGGAAGGGCCCCTGCAGCCCCCACACCACCCCCCACAGCGCCTCAGTGTCTGCTCCTCAGGAGCAGCCTCCCCGGCTTTGGCTGACGTCATCAGAAGCCTCCAGAGATCCCTGCAAGTCCGCGGACCCCAGATGCAGGTAGAGCACCTTTGGGCCTCAGTTTCCCCATCTGCAACAGGAGGGTCCTCACAGCCAAGGGCCTGCCCTGGCCACGCCACTGGACAGGCCCTGCTGGGATCTGTCCTGGCCACACAGGGACAGCAGGATTGTCCTCAGGGGTGGGGAGCAGTGGCCCCAGACACGGAGGACAGACAAGGTCAGAGGCGTCTGAGTGAGAAAACCGGCTCACCCTTGGCTGCCACAGCTGCAGAGCTGGGAGGGGCCCAGAGGGTCGGGCTGGGGACGCTGTCTGGATGGCTGGCGCCAGAGATGGCGGTGGGCGCCGGGCTGTCCCCTACTCTGTGCCGCGTGCTCGGCCTTGCTGTGGCTGCAGCTGCTTTTACCACGTGCAGACTACCACGAGCCCTCTGGCCTGGACACCACTGAGGACAGCAGAGTCAGTCCGGGCTTCACAGCCCCGAGCCCACTCTGCAGGGCTCGCTGCCGTGTGAGGCAGGGCTGAGCTCCCCTCTTGGATGACTCTGACTGTCCCAGACCCTGGCCCTCCTGTGGGGCTGAGAAGCAGGTGGCAGCAGGGCAGCCGGTCTGTGACGGCAGCCTGTGCTGGTCCCCACCGCCAGATGCAGGTACACAAGGTCCTGAGCACATGTGTGCTCGCCACCCACAGCCTGCCCAGCTGTCCTGGGAAGGGTGGGGCTTGGCCCAGCTCGTGGGGCTCAGAGGGCTGGGCCCCGTCTCCAGTGCCCCCTGAGCACGCCTCTCTGCGTGCTGGCCCTGCCCCTCCTGATAGGCAGCCACTGATCAGACCCCTGCTTGGGCTCTGCCACTCGGCCCTGCTGGTACAGAGCCCCTGCGTGGCTTGGTCCCTGCCCACCGCACTACCTCCAGTACCTGCATCTTGTGCCTGGGAAGATGCACTCCGGTTCCCAGACAGACGTCGGGCCCAGCGAGATCAGGACAGATTCTCCAGTGTGTGATAGGGGCCCCTACCCCATAACGTTACCCAAGCACCCTCAGGAACTGGAAGGCCAGCAGAGGCTAGGGGCAGGCGACGGGCAAGCAGAGGGGTGGAGGCAGTTCAGCTCCAGGCCACCCAGAGGGGTCCAAGCCCTCAGGCCCCATGGCTGCGCCCAGCCCTTCGAGGCCCTGCTGTGGCCACCCTGGCCCTGTCACTGCAGCAGAGCTCTGCCCGCCATGCTCAGGCCTGTGGGCAGATAAGCCAGAGCCAGGGACCAGCACTGAGCCCACAGCATCTTGGGGGCTTCACGGGGACACACATAGCTAGGTATGGGCCTCACCTGGGCTCAGGCTCACTGTGGAAACCCAAGTTTTAAAGAAACACTTTAATGTTTAAAAGCTCAGCGCTGAGGTCTTCCTGCCGGCTCTGCAGCTCCCTCCGCTCCTTGCTGCACCCCCAGATGAGAGTGTGGGCACCACTGGGACCTCAAGGGTCCTTCTTGTCCATTTGGGAGCAGGAAGGCCACGGGGGAGACGGTCCCAGGCTGGTCCTCAAATCCCATCAATCTCCCACAGCTGCCCATGGGCCCCACCAGATGGGGGTGCTGTAGCCAGAAGCTGGGGGCTGGGCCAGAGTCCCATGAAACGCAGCCTGGGTTGGGCACTGGTAGCCTGTGAGCTGGTCCCAGCACTCTTCTCCGGAGGGCAGACAAGCTCTTCCTCCTGTGGAGCTGGAGCCTCGCAGGGCCAGGCACTGGTTGGGACGAAGCTGCCCCTGCTGCAGGCCAGCTCTGGGGCAGCTGCCACTACACGTCTGTCTCTATCCGCAGCCGCTCCATCCTGCGCACGTTGCCCTCCACTGCCACAGGGCTGGTGATGCGCCGGGCGACATCCTCAGGAAACCAGCCCGTCTCTCCGTCTCGGAGCCGTTCTCCATGTAGCCACCCTGGGCACCGGTCAAGGTCCGTGAGAGGCAGGCCGTTCCCTGGGCCCTATCCTGGGGACACCAGCGCCCGCGTCCCCCTGAACTGACCCTGCGCCCGCACTCACCATCCTCCTCCTCCATGACCAGCACTACATCCGCCTGCTGCAGGGAGACCTCGTCCGCCTGCTTGGCGAAGTAGGCCTTGGTGACCTCCACCTGGGGCAGCTCTGAGGAGGCGGCACAGTGAGGGCACAGGCCAGGGCCACCAGCAGGGTGGAGGGGATGGGGCTCACGCGGCCCTGTCTGCCCTGAGGCCATGGGGCCCAGGCCGGGCCTCTCAGGACTGAGCAGGTCCAAGTGCACAGGGGGCACTGACGCGCATCCGGGGCCAGGCTGCGACATGGCGGTCCCCCCGGGCTGGCACCCATGCTCACCTCCTTTGTTGGTGGGACCCTGCCACTGCCTCTCCTTGTAGGCGAGCGCTGTGATCCACCGGGCCCGGTCACTCCTGGGGGCCAGGGAGGACAGTGAGGACTTGTTCCTCCCTTCTACAGGCCCCGAGGGCTCTGACCTGGGCCAGCCCCTGCTCTATGCACTGCACACTGCCTGCTCTCATCTGCCTCACTGCCCCGGGCCCTGTGCTCCGGCCCCTGCGTGCACCCTGCTGCTCCATGGGCCCTGCCCCAGGACCTCTCCAGGGCCGTGCTGCTGCGTGGCATCCTCCCTGTTCACAGCCTCACTCCCCCCCCCCCCCCCGCCTCAGGGCAAGCCACACCTTCCCCCCCCACACACTGAGTCTTCTCACCACCTCATCCTTCCCTCCCTCTGGTCACCACACATTCCAGGGTCCCCTCTGGGAACACATGCACCACCCAGACAGGATGTCTTGCTCAGGGCTGGCCCCTGGAGGCTGCAGCAGCACCCGACACAGCTGCTACCCAGATATAGCCCACAGAGCAGGGTTCCCGCCCACCCAAGCCTCCCTGGGTCCCTCCTGTCTTACGCGGAGTCCGAGGACAGCAGGACCTGCTCCTGGCGGCCCTCGCTGTTCCGCAGCAGGGTCACCTGGAAGGGGTGAGGCACGGAGGAGCTGCGGGTGCCGGCTCCCGGCAACGACGGTTCCAAGGGCTCCAGCTTCCGGACCTGAATGTGGTCCAGCTGGGCGTAGTCCTGGACCACATAGCTGTCCTCGCTGTGGGGACACGGGTGACCAGTGAGGCTCTACGCCAATGCTCCTAAGAGCTAAGCCCTGCCCTGGTGCCTGGGGACAGGGGCTTCGCACTGCTGGGTCCCTGAGGCCTGAGGGAGCCAGGCTGCCCGTAGGAGCCGTGCGGCCACTCTGTTCCACGGTGTGACACAGCTCCCAAGGGCGGCTGTTCCCTGGCCTCCTGGCTTCCGGCTTCCCCACCGGCGGTGGCCAGCCACACGCCCACCTCTTCTTCTTGGTGATAAGCAGGACATCGTTGAACAGGAACAGGTAGCAGGTGGGCCGGCTGGCGATTTTCCTGAAAATCCCGGCTTCCTCCATCAGGAACAGCTCCCCTCGCTTCAGCAGCCAGCGGGAGGCGGAGATGAGGGGGAAAGACTGGGGACAGAGTGGCCAGGTGGACAAGGGCCCGCACTGGGCAGGCAGGTGGCGGCGCAGCTCCCAGGGTCCACTGGGTGACCGGCTGGCTGCCCTCGGGGCTGCACAGGGTGTTCAGTTGGCTACAGTCCTGAGCCCCGGCTGGATGGGGAGCACCCTGACCTGGGGCCTGGCATTGAGCTGGGTGGACAGGGCTCAGGACAGAGTGGAAGAGCGGGAAGAGCCCTGCTGCTGGGCTGGTAGTCCAGCTGCAGCCCACCTGCGCCCCACGTGCTCTAGCCACTCAGCCAGACCCAGCCATGCCACCCCCACCTGGACTGGCTGACCCTCCCCACACCCAGGCCCGTCCACACAGCCTCGGGGATGGTGGCACATGAGGGGAGCTGCCAACAGGGAAACCGAGGCGGGGAGGGACCCAAGGCACAGCCACCCCAGGTGGGCGCCCCGCAGGCCTCTCGTCCTCGAAGCGGTCGACCTCGGGGACAGCAGAGGCGCCGGCAGCGCAGCACCCACCTTGACCTTGCTGAAGTCCAGCTGTGTGTGCAGCGTGTACATCTGCTCCGTGCGCTCCATGGTGTGCGCCCCCTCATTGCACTGCTTCACCAGCTGCAGAGCCCCGAGGCAGCGGCGAGGGCAGGGGCAGGGAGCGAGGCGTGAGGTGGGGGGGGGCCCAGCCCCTGCCCTCGCCGCCCCACTGCCTGCCTTCCAGGGCCCCGCCTTGCTGTGGGTGTCCCCGCTGGCTCCAAGCCTCAGTTTCCCCACCAGTATTATCTCTATCCTACTATCCTACTCTCTACACCACAGGGGAGTGGGGACAGTAATGGGGCTGGGGGAGGAGGCGGGGGAGGAGCCTGGGGCAGGACCAGGGCTGGCCATTCCCTCCCCTGTCCTGGCTTCACCTCCTCCCTCTGCCCTACCTCTGATCCTGCCCCACCCCCTTCTCTATCCTGACCCGCCTTCCCTCCACAATCCTGATCCCAGCCCTACCCCCACTTGGACCCCGCCCCATTGGGAAGCCACAGCCCCTTTATCCAGGCCCCACCTCTATCCTGGCCTGACCCCCATGCTGACCCCACCTCCTGGCCCCATCTAACCTTGCTGATGGCCTTCAAGGCTTGGCTGGCAGCTTTGTACCTCTCAGGGTGGCCCTGGGACTTCAGGCAGAGGGTCTGGAGGAGACACCAGCTGTGAGGGGCCGAGCCCCTGGAGGCCTGCATGGAGCAGGGCTCCCACAACCCTAAACGTGGGAAGGCGAGGTCTCCAGACCACTCCTGCTGGGCCACTGTGCACACGGCCCCCAAACAGGCTTGGCTGGGCCCCCAAACGGAGCTGCCGCCGCCGCGCTCCTTCCCATCAGAGGCCGCCTCTTTCCAGCTGGGGCATGGCCAGGGAGGCCCTGGAGACCCATTTCTGGAACTCCAGTCCTGTGGGTCCAAGGCTGTGTGCAGCAGGACTGCACCCCCCTGAGCCCCAGCTCCCGCGCCTCCATCGCCTCAGCCGGGCTCCTGTCACGTGCGTCTGTGTGTGGGGTCCAGGTGTGTGTGTGCCTGTGTGTGCTCTGCAGGGGAGGACAGCTGTGACCCTGACCACATAGTGACCCCGTTATTCACACGGCCTCAAAATGGTCATGGCAACTAACCACAGGGCCGAGGGGGCAGGTGGCCTGTGGGCGGGGTGCCTGCGGAAGTCCATCCCCAGCCCTCGATGCTCACATCGGTCAGAAGGGGCAGCCTGGTCACGCGCTGCATGGGCAGGATCAGGAAGGAGATCATGGGCAGGCCCCCGCACGCCGGCTGCTTCTCAATGTCCCGCAGCGCCTCTCGGAAGGCGGTGTTGCTGCCCCTGCGGGAGAGGACGCGGCTCGGCCCGGCTACGCGGCAGCGTGAGCCTGTGGGCAAGCGCAGGGGTTGGGGGGCACTCACGTCAGCCTCTGCAGCGTGCGCTGCTGGTAGACCTCGTTGGAGCAGTAGACCACGTAGGGGTGGAAGTGCCTCTCTGCGTGCTCCTCCAGGATGTCACTGATGTCCTCCACACACACCTGTGCCTGGTGCCGCTGCTCCAGGGCCTTGAAGAACCTGGGTGTGGAGGGCAGTTAGGGCGTGTCCTGGTAGTGTGCTGCATGCACACACATGCATATGCGTGCAACACACAGCCACACACACACACACACACACACACACACACACGGGTGTCTAGGCAGATGCATGTGCACAGGCACACGCACTGCACGAGGTGGGTTGAGCTGCAGGCAGCTAGCCACCTGGGCCCACAGGTGGGTGGGTACAGTGCCTATGCCACAGCCCCCCAGAGGAGGGATCAGCCTAGTCCCCTGGCCCCACAGCAGGGCACAACCCTGGCCCACCCCAGAAGCAAGCTCAAGGACGGAAGCACAAGGTCCCGCCTCCTGGCCCTGAGGATGAGGCAGCCACGCCCGCCTCCAGGCATGGGTCCCTCCTTGTGAAGCTCCACCTGCTCCCTGGACAGCATTGGGGCCTTCATCGTGCACCAGCTCATCCTAAGGGCGAGCCGAGGCATGCAGGGAGGCAAGTCCCGCCCTTGAGAGACTCCCAGAGGCGACTGTCAGCCCCTGCCCTCCTCCACAGCCAGGCCCCCAGCCAGGGTGACAGAGCACAGCCGACCCCAGGTCCTGCTCCGGGTTTCTCTAGGCGCACAGCAGCCTCTGATGGATAAGGCTGGTGACTGGGCCTTGGGTCCATCTCACAGATACCAAGGCCAGTCCCTGAGGCTGGCCACCTCTCTAGGCCTCCTGCCAGGCCTCTGACCTCTGAGAACCCCTCAGCCGGCCTCAATGTGGCAGGTGTCCCTTAGGACCCGGCCGGATGCTCTACGCTCAAGGAGACCCTGCTGCTGCGGAGCATTACTCTGAGCACCAACTGACCCTGGGAAGCTGTGGCAAGCAGGACAGTGGGTCAGGGTCAGGATGGGAGGCCCTGTGGACGTGGCCACAGGCCTTCCACACATGCACCGGGCCAGTCACAGGGCTCTGATGGAACAGTCTGGGACAGCTACCTTCAACCACTGACCTCAGATAGCACCGGGCCTCAGCGAGGCCACTGTGAATGGCCACAGGAGGAAGCCAGAGCCACAGCCAAGGCCTGAAGCCCACAGGGGCTGGAAAGCACTCGGTGCAGTGGGACCACGCCGGGCAGGCAGGGTCTACCTGGCAAGGTCGGCCCTGGCAGGGGTGGCCGCCATCCCAGGCCCTGCCCCTCCCCCTTGCATCCCGCAGCGGCTCACTGAGGCTCCGTGGGGAAGCGCCTGTCCCCAACAGAAGCCTCACCTCTGACTGGCAGCCAGGACGTCCAGGATGTTGGAGAAGAGGTGATGGTGCTCCGTCTGTGTCATGGTGGCCCGCAGCACCGGGGACCGCAGGAACGCGGCCACCAGGGTGCCCAGGCTGTGCAGGTAGGAGAACTCGGACGTGAGGATCTCGAAGATGGCCTGTGTGAGCAGCTGGTGAGCCTGCATGGGAGTCCAGGCTACACACCAGCCTGGACAGCACTCGGACAGCAGGGAAGGTCCAGGAGGCAAGGGGACAGCAGGCACAGCAGGTGCAGAGCTGGAGGGAGCCGGCAGGGGCACAAGTCCACGTCCCTGCTCTCGCACTGTGGCTTAGCTACTTAAGAGCTGCAGAAACAGCCCGAGAAGGTGCAGGGTCCCCCCAAGGCTGCTGAGTACCCGTGAGGGCACAGTAGGGGCTCAGACAGTGCCTGGTCCTGGGGCAGGGCTGTATGGGGAGGCGGCCACAGGGGACGAGGGGTGGCCTCACCTCCTGCCTCTTGCGCTCCTCGGTGCTTAGCTGGTCCAGAACACCCGACTCGACCACCTGAGAAGGCCCAGCCCAGGAGTCACACCCACACCCTGGATGGGACCAAAGTCCCCACCTCCATCCTCTCTGGACCAGAGCCAGCACAGCGGACAGCCCGGCCCTGGAGGTGGGGCTGGGCAGAGCACCTGTGGTCACCTGCGCACAGCCAGCAATGTCAGGCCTGAGCTGGCGGGGTCCCTTCGCCCCACCTTCCTCTCTGGGAACCTCCTGGGTTGGCCCATGAAGAGTGCAGACGTCTGAGGGTCAGGCCAGGCTGGGCGGCTCTCATAAATGATTGCACAGGGTGCCGGGCAGGGGAAGGTACAGCACCCTGCCCCCGAGGAAGGGTGTGACAGCGCCTGGTTCCCCACGCCCTAGGCCACAGATGGTGGTGCCTTGGCTGGAGCAGCGCTCCCCAAGTCGGGGCACGCCCCGTCCCCAGACAGGCTGGGCAGGCTGCACTACCACAGCGGCTGGGGCGGCCCCCGTGCCCTCCTCCCTGATGGGCTGGGCTGGGAGGCAGGGATTACAGACTGGGCAGCTGGGCCTGAGCTGCGGGCCACTGTGCTGGGTGGCAGGGTGCTGGGTCCCAGGCCAGAGCAGGGGATAAACACACTCTGGACCCTCCCTCTGGGGGCACAGCTGCCCTCGCTGTGCTTCCCACGGCCAGCTGGCAGAGCACAGAGCGTCTCTGGTATCCCCCAGGGTGGCCAACAAGGAGCCCCATTGTAGGGAGACAAAGGGGACCCTAGGCCCACCCTGCCAGCTGCCCGCCACACCCACGACCTTCAGGGACAGGGTCACGAGTGTGCCCTGGCAGCTGAGGCTCAGGTTCCAGGCCTCTGCCCCGACCACTGTCCACGCCTCCCATTGGGCAGGGTGCCCCACCGTCAGGTGTAGGGCCATGGTAACTTCGCCCCGCACCTGGCTCATGCACAAGCAAAGGCCTGGCCAGCTCCTCAGAGACCCCAGGCCCTCCCAGAGTTGGGGTGCTCTGGGAAGGTCTTCTATCCCACAGCACCCGGCAGGCCAGTCTGGGCTGGGAAGCCTGGCATACACGTCCCTGTGCTCCCCTCTGTGCCACCCACAGTGTCCAGCTAGCCCCCCAGGGACAGGGCGGCCCAGGGGATCCAGAAAGCAGCTCTCCCTCCCTGTGAGGACCTGAGCCACGGTGGACTGGGTCAGAGAGAGCAGGGGCCTCCTGGCCTCACCCCCTCTGGCATACCTCAGGGAGCTGACTCCAGGTGACCTGAGCAGGCCGGTAGCTCTTGACCACAATGGTGGTGTCCATGCTCTGGGGCCCCTCAGGGCTGGGGGCTTCACTGAGCATGTCATCATCAGACTCATGGCTGGTGTTCAGACCCCGCTCCCGGATCTCCTGGTAGAATCGGGGGTCTGGGGAGAGGAGCGGAGCCACTGGTCGGCCACAGGGCTCAGGGGGGTCTGAACCCTCCCCACGGCTCCCCGGGACCCCCGGAAGCATCAGGCTGTGTGCGGCCCTCGCAGGCTGGCCACTGGCTGGCAGCCCCTGCGCATGCGTGGGGCCAGCAGAGGCAGCGCAGCGTGGAATGTGGCACCTCAGGGCCGGGCCAAGTGACGGACCACAGCCCTGTGTGCCGGTGGTGCCAGCAGGGGAGGAGGCTGGGCTTCGAGGCCACAAGCCACCCCAGGTCCTGCCCGCATACCAGCGGCCGGCCCCGACCTCGCCCTGGCCCCCGGGCCCCCTGGACAGTCCCTGCAGTCATCGCAGGGAAGGCCAATGTCAGCTCTGCGCAGAGCTGGTGATGTGCCCGTCTAGACCTGGGCCTGGGCCTGACCTGGCCTCAGCCCCTCTGGGGGCTCTGTGTGTCCCCTGCCCTCGGAGTCTCACGGGAGCCCAGGAAGATGGCTGGACTTCAGATCGTCAGGGCTGTGAGCTCAGATCGGCCCCTGGAGGACCCCAGGGAGCCCGACCTCCATCCCCCCAGCCGCCACCCGGATCCCAGCGCTCACTGCCCGGCCGCTCACCGTCCTTGAAAGAACCCTTGTGCGCACGCTTCCGGCCCAGCGTCCTCTGTGCAAAGAAGACAGACGTCAGCCGTCGGGCTGGGGGGTCCGCAGCACCTGTGTCCCTCGGGGCCCAGCGGCCTCACCGTAGTCGTGCAAGACCAGGCCCGATGGGGGCTTCACCCGTGCACACACACAGGTGCCTGGTGATATGCATGAGGGCCCCAGGCCTGCCAAGCAGAGGCCAGGATGGGGGACACTACATACAATGCAACAGGGTTCAACAGGGCTCAGCGGATGCTGAGGTGGGAGTGTGCTGGGGGCGCTCGGGGTGGGGAGTCACCATCTGGCCCCTGGCACCACCCAGAGCCCCCAGAGGCTGACGGAGGGGGGCGGATGGAGGCAACTGGGGCGAGAGCTCTTGGAGAGGCCCTGTCCCCAGCTGCCCTGCTGGAGCCCCACTTCTTGGCTGGGACACATGAGCCTCGCAGGTGCACCAGCGTGTGGGTTCCAGGAAGGCAGGGCCGGTTTCTCAGAACCAGTTGGGGCCTGAGAACTCCTGCTAGCTGGGAAGGTGTGGCCTGCCCCTCCACCCTGCACCCTACACCCCGGGACTCCTGTGCACCCCTCTGCCCTGGGGCTGAGGGTGGGGCCTGTCATGGGCCCTCAGGAAAAGACGCTGGGTGCAGGATCCAGACCCCTGCAGGCCCTGCCCTGGTGGGGTAGCTGGGTC